GTGTGGGGGGGGTGGGGGGGGGGGGGGGGGGGGGGGGGCAGCAGCTTTCAGCTTTTAGATCTACACATTATTTATTATTTCATTATAGGATAATTATGTTTTTTTTTTTTACAAATTTAATTTAAACCATAAAATAGTTACTTTGTGGACATATTGTGGAAAGAGATGATTATGGAAACATTAATATTGAATTATTCAACATTGATATTCTGAGATAAGGATGTGACAAACACCCACTTGGTGGTTCACTGGTGCAGACGTCCGTTAACACCTTGAGCTGTTTCCACTACAGCAGTGGAGGAACTTCACATTAGCACCATTCGTTACCGCTCCATCAGGTGTGTCTGATGTGGGTGTGATAAAAAAAAAGCATTCTGCTGACAGCTTTCACTATAAAGCCAGTGAAACTAATCTCTTCCTCTTTCTTTGGAAATCTCTGAGGGGAGACGCATGAGCTGAGCTGCAAAATATGAGGAATAGCTCAAATAACCCTCACTTCTTGGTGATAAGAGAAAGTATATTCATATAAAATATGATTTTTAAAAACACGTATAAAGTCATGAGGTATGACAATACTGAATGACAGAGAAATGTATTAATACACATAAACATTCTAATATATTCCGTTGTAAAATAAGGTCACTGTCACTCAACTGTACCAGATACTTATTAATCCTGTGGGCCAATATATCGGAAAATATTTGCCGTTCACAGTATCGGTAACTGCCTATATGTCGACAAATGAGTAACAATACAATGTAGTACAAAGATGTTTGAGGTAACGTAGCAATAGTGTCTCCAGTTTGTTACTCTGTCATTTTTAAAAGCGTTTTATTTTACATAATTGTAGCCTCTAACAAACTGAACCAGCTCTAAGTTTTACACTCTTTATTTTGTTTCTGTAAAAACATCTGGATGGATAATGGTTCCTGATGGCGGTCTAGATTACATTTTAAATGCAGTCCTGTTATACAAGAGGCCACAACACAATTCTTGCTTGCCTTCATAATACTGCGAACATAATGTATATAAATTTCATACTCAAATGTGTATGCAAGTGGAAAGGGAGTTTGTTAAATATGCCACTTTAAATTTAAATGAGGCTATATTTGATATCGCAAGCCCAAACTCTTTAGGCTTGGAGATGACACATTTTGGGTGAGTGTTGTTGGCAGCACTGTGTGTAAATGTAGGATCCAGTATTTTTGGAACTTGACCCATAGTTACTATAAAAGTATCTCAGCCTCTGCTGCATTTTGATCCTTCTTTTTAAAATATGGCTCTTGTGATTCTCCAAACTGTATCGAAATGCAACACTAAATCTCCACATTGTCTCCTCGAGATGAAATCGAAGCCAGTGTTTCTCCTCAGATTACTGTGCAGGAGCAGTCACTCAGGCAAATGATTGTTTTCCTTTTCAGGAAGTTGATGGATCTCACCAATGAAATTAAGCTTCGAGTAAAACTATGAACTGTAATAAGGTTCATGATATCAGTAGCCTTGTTTGACGGCGGTTCAATAGGTCTGCACTTAAAGGGCACCAGGCTGCGGTGCCTAAATTGAGGCCTGAGGACCATTAGGAGTCTCTCAGAGGGTTACAAAGTGTCCCCAGAAAAATACAATGAAATACTGTTTCACTGACACAATTGGTGTGTCCTCTCTGCTTCCTCTAACCTGCAGAACAAATATCTTTTTAATGTAAAAATCACATTTATTAGTATCCGTCTAAAGGAATAAGTGTTATGTATGATGCCCAAATCAAGGTATCATTGTGTAAAATCAGGCATGATTTAAACAGCTGCCATTTGTTTTCATAGGCTTGAGTAGTTATGACATTAGGTCAGTCTTAATGCAATCACAGATACTTTTATCTATTGGCTGAAAACCGCTGTAGCAACTCACGTTGTGTGGTAATGTGGACATGATCAGCACAAACCTCCAACACTGTAACCAACCGTTAGTATCGGACAACTGTGTGTGTTGATTGACAGCAGGAAGGAGGTACATAAGGAGACGGTCGTCATGGAGAAAGACACACAAACGGCCCGAAATCATGACACCTGGAAGAGAGGATCATGGGAGCTCTGAAGACAGAGTTAGTTGAACAACTTGGATTCGCTGAAGTATTCTTGCCTGTTAAGTAACGAATGGTGAAATCTAGTGATACAGCCTAGGTCGCTCACATCTTACCTGCTGCCTAATGTTGTACACCCAGAGTAGCTCTTAAGACATCACTAGCTAAAACATTAAAATGCTATTTTGTGTAAAATCACATTTGACATTCTTCTATAAGCAACTACAATCTGAATGGCCAGTCTATAAAACATACAGCGTAGGAGACAGTAAAAACATATAATGCAATACAAAACCTTCTCAATGAATCCACTTGTTTTAATGAAAGTATTTATCACAGATGTCTTACGCTGAGATTGTATCACTTTATATTTTAAGCTCCACAGAAGAAGCATCTATTGCAGTTTTCTGATCATAGATTGTGTAACATCGTACTATTGTTGTTGAAATTGTTGCGTCATGTTTTTCAAAGGTCTGGCAGCAGGAACAGACACGCTAAAGTTAGTAGTGAACTTCCAATGATGAAGAATCAGAACTTCCTCAGTGTCCAAGTCATTCATTAGCAAACTAACTTGATTTTAGTCTTAAGAATTGTGCAGTTCCACATCCAACAGCAATGCTGTGATCCCGAGATGCAGAGAAACTACTTAATGACAGATGGGGCCATCTAGTGGTGAAGCTCTGGAAATGGAATCAATGGCCTGGCAATAGGGACTTTTATTGTAAAATTTGCTTTCATCACTTCACAGTAAACATTTGCGTTTTCAGAGTGTATTACTGGTCGGCTGTACAACATACTGAGAGAGTTAAAACTGAAATATTGTGCTTAAAAAAAAAATTAAAAAAATTAAATGTGAGAATTAAAATACAAATTCTAACCAAGACTTTGGTTCACCAGGTTACTAAATGCAAAGATAAAACAAATTCCTTTAAATGTACAACGTTTTTTCTTATAAAAACAAAAAAGGTTTTCTTCAGTAAAAAGCCAAAAGAATCTATAGACCCCTAGAAATCTACATCAGTACCTGTATAAGGTGAAACTATAAAAAAAAAAAAAAAAAAGTTTAAACCAATCAGAAAATGCTTACTCGTCAAGATGTAAACACCTTCACAGAGAATCATTTAACAACTTGACTTTCACATCTACAAGTAACATTCTGTACACTCTAAAAGGCACTTGTGGCAGCCACAAAGTTTCATACATGAACAGACACAAAATATTTCATCTGTGCACCTCTTCACTGTTTAGAGAAGTATACATACACATTCAGCGTCAACTCTGAACAAATTTACTGTAAATTATGCAATAAAAAAAAAAAAATCAAAAAATCAGCACAGCGTATTAGCAGTGTGACTAATATTTACAGTCTTTAACTTTGAACTGGTCCAGAGCTGCATTACTGGACAGGCTGCTCACGTCATGGTTGGTTTCACACCACCAGGCTCTCCCGACTCACAGCTCCATTCTGTAAGACAAGAGGAGTCGTATCAACTTAAATCAGACTTAAAAGGAGCCAGAGTAAAGGATTTTGGGGGATGAATTAGCAGAAATGGAATATAATATTCACAACTATGTTTTCATTAGCGTACAACCATCTGAAACTAAGAATCGTTGCATTTTCGTTAGCTTAGAATTAGCCCTTCGTAGTTATTTTATTCAAACTTTATTTATGCAGAACAATCTCATGGAGATTTTGAATCTTTTTTGCAATATCTACATAGGGAGCGGGTCCTAGGGGTATGTATGTATATATATACACACACACACACACACACACACACACACACACACACACACACACACA